TCTACATATGACAATTCTCCACCTGGGTAATCTGTCTATTTCTCTAGCACTGGCTGTAAGGTTTCTAGAAAGCAGGACCCTGGTACTGATGTTTGTTCAAGGTGGGGCATCCATGGGTGCCATGCACCTGTGAACTCAACTTCTTTTTCCTCTGTAAAAGTCTTCCTCCACAGATGTTTCAGATGGGGGTTGGGAAACCTAAAGCTTCCTGCTTATGACTCCTGCAGACGTCTTAATCACATCACAGTGCTTGGCCCTCAGGAGCCAATGGCCTCCAAGATTCTGAAAGCAGACCTACCTACCGGTACATCTTGGTCTGGTTCCTGTAATCAAGTCAGTTACAATAGAGTCCACCTTCCAACATGCATGAAATGAGCCTGAGGTCTCCTGCCTGTGCATACTGTACATGTAATGTCTGACTGCTGGCAAGTCTGGTCAATGATCACAATGATAACTATCTTCATGAAAAAATGACCTGCAGTGAAACAGGCAGTGTTGATATTATATTAATGGAAGACATTCTTGTACATCTTGCCAATGAGTGATACCTGCGTGCATGAACGAGGCAATTTCAACAGCTTCCAATTACGAATTTATCACAAAACTAAACACTGTGCACACACACATACATCACAACCTGACACAAATCTCTCCACAACACGTCAAGTATGTACCCATACCAGGGAGAGCTCACAGGAGAAAATCTCGACCTATGGACCACAGCGAGGGAGGCCCTTCAGGTAGAGGCTGAGGCATGAACTACCATCTCTCTCTCTCTCTCTCTGTAGACAGAATCACAGGGAAGTGATCAATCACTAAGGGGGTTATTGGCGGCCAATCAATCAATGTCAGCCTGTCACCTGGACAGAGTCCCCTGCCATCAATCATTTCCATCTCAACCCCCTCCCACTGTCAACCAATTTTCAGGGCCTATTGAAAACAGAACCGGTATCTCTCCTCCCACGTGCGTGAACGTGGCAGGATTACTTTTTGTAGATGAGCTGTTCTGTTTGGAGACAAGGTTGCATGAATCCACACTCCTTGTATAAGTTTGACGGGGGGGGGGGATTCGGGGCCAAAAAGAAATCCCAGCAGAGGGACTGTAACGATGAGAACACAAAACTCTGCCTTTTCAGGGCTTTGAACAGCTGACAAGGAATGAGATCCCTCACAAAATGTCATGATTATGAGTGGTTTACACTTGGTTTCTGTGCAAAGTGCTAAAAAGGTGTCAACCTGCTGCACGATCAGGACTCTAAAATTCTGCAAGTCTGGAATCAAGAACCTGAAAAAATCCTGAGGAATCACATCCCAAGAATGATTGATGCAAGGCTACAAAAACCTGCTGGTTTCTACGAGCATCGAGTACATTGTACTTACATATTGTCAGTATCAAGAGCAAGGTGAAAACTTCAGTCCTTTACCTTAGGCAATCACATTCAAACATTTCTCAGTAAAGTTCCACACTACCTTCTCACTTCAGGACCAGCTTATTACACACACACACCACAAACACACACACAAGAGATCGCCTGAACACATCATGAATTTAAACCACTATGCAAATCACATCACATTTTTGGATTTCACCAGCTTTCTTGCATACAGTATTAAGTTGCAGGAAGACAGAGAGAACGGGGAGCTGTGTTCCCCATTAGCAATACGTATACAATGGGAAAATGTTATTCATTTGTTGGGGGGAGTTGCAACAAAACTAGTTTTTGAATGTGAACTATCAGTAGGCCCCAACTAATTCTTTTGTTTGAGAGGGGATTCAATTGGTTACAAAGGTTCAACTTCAGCACTTCAGTTAGCTTCCCATGATATTCAAGATTAATGGTAAAACACAAACCTGGTCAGTATTTAGTACAGGTGTAATAAGCTTTTAATTTCATTCAAACTTAATTTTAATTTACAGCTGTTCTTAACTCTTGCTGAACAGGGTATTTCCATCACTGGATGACATACATACCGGAATAGCACATGTTACTGCTGTCAATTCTCTACAGCTTAAAGCATGGTACAATAACGAACCTGAAAATATGGATTTGGTTGAATTTTACTGCAGCGGTGAAAATCAATGAATTAAAATGTACCCGACCCCTAAGATTGTGTGGAGAATTATACTGGAAGAGGATTCAGGACTGTTATTTATAGCTAACCTGTTGCCATGAGGATAATCCATGATCATGATCATTGCTAGATGTACATGTAACTGACAAGTTGTACATGTACACGTATGCATGTGCCAGTATATACAAGTTGCAGGTTCACATTTGGGTTAAGAACTTTGCATTATCATTTTCCCTTCAAGTATTTCACAAAGTCCTCACATAAATCTTCATGACAAGAAGTGATATCAGTCCCAGGCTCCGTCCATTTAAATCACAAATCTGAGCACAAAAATTCTTCTCATAAATTCAATTGCAATCTGCATACATGTAGAGTGCTGGTGTAGCACAGTCACATGTGAATGCATGTAGGGACTGGTACATGTACGACATATCAAGACTTGAGCAGCCTGACAATTCCTACCATCCCCCACTCTATCTCCCTGACAATTGGCTATTCAAGGCATGTACACTTGAACATAGCCAAGCACAAATACAGCCAAGGCCACCTACTCAAAAAAAAGCCTCTCTCAGAGTTTGTTTATACTGCGCCAGGGAGGACTTTCAGACTAGGCTTTCCAGCCCTGGATTGCCTGGTTCTGAACTCCCAGCTCCCCTCTAACGGCTTATGCTCTCCAGCCTTATACGAGGCCAGGGCCGACTGTATTGTGCTCAGTGAGGAGAGAAAAACCCGGCCGGGCGTGTGATTGCTCGACGAGGAAACATGACGCCAGAACATCTCAGCCGACAGATCTGGATCACAGACAACTCGCACATTTCGGCAGATGACGCGTGAAAGAAGCGTGTGATTTTTATTTGAAATGGCAGATTTCTTTTTCCCTAAATTAAAGGGTCTGGTTCACCACTAGATTGGAGGCAGAGTGGCTTCCCTAATTTCTGGAAGCCATGCAAAATTTCACAAGAACTATACCAAACCACATTAATACATAATTGGACCGTAAACCAATATTCCTGATTAAACATACCTATCAAATTGACACCAGTGCATTATTTATGCTTGCCCTTACCATGAGTTTCAAACATAAGGTGGAGTTCTATCTTTTGCAGATGTCAGAGAATCGATGAAGGGCAAACACTTGTACATGTTTCTGTGTTGTGTTTATCTATGGAACAAGTACCCAATTATCTGCAAGGTTTTCCCTGGTACATACATGTAGAAGCCAAATGGCAACATGCTAGGCTGCATACAGTACCGGTATACATGTATAGTACATAACTGCATTAATTAATTGAATTCCAAAGTGCTAGCTTAAATTTCAAGGTAGTCTGTAATTCAGGGAATTTGTGACACCGGTACTTTGCACAATTCTTCTAATTTCAGTGTGATTTTACATACACCCAAGGGGATTCTGAGGGTTAATAAAAATCTGTTAATGTAAATTTGACATTACTCATCAGGATTTTTTCTGTAGCTACTTTCTTTTTTTAAGCATCAAAATTTTCAAACGATAGCGTACACAATATACACCACCACATAATATGTACATGTGTAAATTTGTGCTTATGTACATGTGCACCTGCTCCTTTTTGTCAGAATAAACAATATGTGATGGATAACAGTGTAACACAACATAATTCATACAATATACCACCACCATCAAATGGGCCATAAAGTTTCAGGACCATTTTTATATGCAAGATGCCAGTTTGCCATTATTCCTTCGGACAATGAGCTCAAAATATAACTACCCTTTCAAGTCAAATGTACATGTACATACATATGCACATGTACATGTGTTGTACACCAAAGTAGCCAAACCTTGCTATCTTTTTCTGCAAGCGTCTTGCAACAACCACTTTACTGACCCCTCCTTTCCCCTCCCCACAAACCCGATCGATTTGAGTGACACCGGTAATTTGAGGCAATCAATTAGGGAATATAAAGTCCATTGGAAATCAATTCTTGACCTTGATGGAAGTCAGATTATTCCCCAGAGCTGAAACAATCGGGAAAATGCAGCACAGAGAAGGATGGAAGGTACACATGGATAGTACCATTATTACAATGAACTCAACCTGTATTATTTTTCAATTATAAGACCAAGGTATATGCAATCCCAAGCAATGCTCTGATAGTATGACAACTGCTACCAGGACATGTTTATTTCCCTATATTTTTTTAAGAGTCATATTTTCTGTTGGACTGCCCCATCGATATCTTTGTCCCAAACAGGTGCAAAATGACTGAGGTACATGTGTATGTAGCTTTGCATGGACATCAAATTCAGAAATACAACACGTTGGTTACATGTACATGTACATACATGTACTGTTCTGCGCATAAACCTGTTATTTCTGTGTGATTGGTTAATACCATTTAAAATGTTGAAATCAGATGTAAATACATTAAGGGTCAGGGACAATGAAGTGCCAAAGATGACAAGAAGCATTGTGAACTTTATTTTTATCAAGTTAATCTTTGAACATACATGTATTTGAGGTGTTGTCCCTTCAGTATATTGATATACCCGGTAAGTTTTTTCACCCCAACAACCACTAAACACGGCTGTAAATTTGGAAAAAATGTTGCATCCTGACTCCACTTCAGCTACAAAGTTACAAAGTTGTCTACAAAATCTATGGGGGGTGAAGAGAATTTCCCAACAACATCGGTAAATGTTTCTCAGTCCAGAATTTGTGTCTGTCCAGCATTTCTGTAATGACTGACTTTTATTGAGATGATATATGATGAGAAAAGTGGAGTCAGGATGCAACATTTTTTCCGGGAATTTTTCTTCAAATAATGAAAAAATCAGAGAATGAGCACAATCGATTAAAGTTGATCCTTTAAAAATAACTGTGAAAAGGAAGGTACAAGTGGTTCCATGTCTTCAAGCACAAAAAATTCCCCAAAAATGTGAAACTTACCCTAGGATTTAGCTGTCAAGATGGCAGCTACCAACAGTACAATGTACTCCGACAGGTGACAAAAAGATCAATTCCTCAAGAACCTCATGGGATGCTCCTCAAATGTATTTATTCAGTTCTGCAAAAAATATACCAAAATAATTCCATACATGTATTTAAACTTTTGGATTTATTTAACTCTAACCTAATTGTAAAAATTTCTTAAAGATGTACATGGAAGAAGTCTTTTCTTTATTGTTCAGATTACCATAACAACATGATGAATTTCACCACGATTTGAGAGTAGCCACAGCCTTTAAACGAACAGTACAAAATTTTTGTGTGCTTTACACATTCACCCAATGCACGGGATATTTTGGCTCCATTCTGACACAAGAGGGCACTATGCGACTTCAACAAGAAGCAGCAGACCAGTACACAGCTGAACTGTGTATCATTGAAATTCAACATATTCAGTTTTCTACAATATATACATGTACATGTATATGTTAATCTATTGTTGGTGAACCATTTACATCAATGGGAATGATCTCTGACATTTTGTTTTTAATCAAAGTGGTTTTTACAGCATTTGCATTAATATTCTATTGTCCTTGGAGGTTTTTCCATTAATTAACTGGGCCAGGATTTGAGCCAGCAACCTCGAGAACCCTTATGAGTGCTCTACCAACAGAGCTACCATACCCAGCCCTGTGTTGGTGGTTCTTCCCATATGTCAATATCTTTGCTCAGGGGTACTGGAAGCCATACAACTCAAAACACCATATAGCCATGACCACACCCCAAAGACACCATTTATAGCCAAATATCTAAAGAGTGTTCAATTGCTCATGGAAACACTGCTTTTTTTCTCCTTTTTTTAAAACACAAATCAACAAACGAATCAAATGAGAGAACTGACCAGGCGCTTACATCATTAATTATAAAGACAAACACAGTAATTTTGTTTTCTTCTTTGCAACATGTGTTTTATATTAAATATTAATCTTCACATTTTAATAAATGCTCGGTTATCATTCTCCGATTCTGGTACAAAGTAAAAACATGGCCATTCTGTTGCATTACAAGAGCGCACAGGTACCATCCAGTGTGGATAACAAACACTGCTAAGGTTGACTCAAACTCAGAACTTTCTATACTGCTACATGTACTTCAGACATTCCAACTATTTCTGACAGAAGAGGAGAAATCTTCACCTTTTTAACCTTCACTTCCATGGATGGGGTAATGCCATCTTGCACAGACTTTTCTTGCATTAGACACACTCAGGGTACTTAAGAGAAAGGACAAACATGCCTTCATTTCCCTTAGTTCTCAACTAATGTTAGATTTGGAAATCAGCAATTCTGAAGAGGACCTAATAAGGACAAATGTATACATACCAGTTCATGTATGTACAAATATGCAATATTTTAACCAAGTTCACTCAACAATGAACAGAATACAAGTCACAGTATATGTACATGTAGACCCACCTACATGTACATGTAGACCCACCTACATGTACATGTAGGTTCCACATTTACAGGGCTAACTTCAGAATTCCCCAGACTCCCAGCATCAAATTAGCAAAACCCTTAACACATCAAATGAGGAACAGGAAATGGTGACTGATCACTAATATAATATAGTGTCCTCAGAGACATTTCTTGTAAATTCTATGGACTGTGAGTTAAAGTCCAGCAATCACAGGGGGTCTCCTTCTTTTTTAACCCTTCACCCCTTTTTATGCAAAAACGGCAGGATTTGGAACTGTTGCTAATAGGACTAAACAAGTCTTTTTCTGATTGTTTCCGCCATGGAGCAGTGACCCAAGAAAGGAAAAATAGTCGTAAGAATGTTGTGATACAGTCATGGGTAGAACGCAAGTTGCACATTATCACTACCCACATGCAGGTGTATTTCTCCTTCATCTTTGTCCTTTTCCTCTTAGTGAACAACAAACTAAGGAGCTTTTCCCCAAGATTTCATTTTACATTTATATCAAACATTTTTCTCAGTTCAACAAAGGGAGGACACAACCACATGTCAGGGTGCATGTACAGTGTATGTGTATTCATTATGCACCATGCAATACTTGTAATTTGTATAAATAAAGCATGCTGTGAATTTTAAACAGGTATTAATTAACACCCTTTAGATAAATAATTAAACGAGTAACCCCTTCCCTTACTCTACTAATATCCAGGCATGATGCTCTTAAAGGACAAGTTAAATAAATAACAAAGGTCTGTCGAAAGAAATGACCTATAAATGTAAGCTTCAGGCACAATTAAATATTTCTGTTTGCTTTTTTTGATCATTAGGTACTGATAGCATTCCTGGCTATTTCAATGAATTTTGAATATTTGAATTTGTCAAAGACAATTTTATGTACAATTAGACAAACCAACTTAGTCATTTGCACGTACATGGTACCATCCAATTTTAAAGTTACATGTACATCAACAAATTTGAACACCGTGTTCAGAAAACTAGTCTAAGCTGTTTCTGCATAGCAAACTTGACTTGTATAGGTACAGTATCAATCACTTTCAAACTTTCACAGAGTAGAGCCTGGTTTCCATACAGACACGAAGAGACAAAGAGAGCAACCCTGATCAGTTGCCGTCGATAAGCAAACACTTCATCCCAACCGATGCAAACAGGGACGGCGACAGTTGGCACAGTTGAAGTTGATTCAACTTTGCCAACTGTCAGTGTTGAGTCACTAGAGTAGGCCTATACAAACACGCATGCTGGCATGCCAGGCATATAACAATGTGCCTCTTGCTTAGTACCATTCATTTCGCCCATTTTCTCCTTTTTACCAATATATGCTGCCCCAATTGTCAACAGAATAGCTGACCATAAGCAAAATAAATCAAACTGGAGTATCAGTTTGGCTTCGCTAACAAAGGCATTTTATGCCAACATTTCCTCCCCCTACATTAAGTGTGGGTCTAGAGAATACCTACCCAAATGCCAAGAATACATGTTCACATATAAACAAGGAAGAGTGTATAAATTTCAGAAATAGTGAACAAACTTCATAATAACTTGTCGTCCGTCCTACAGGAGGTCCCTTTGACCTCTGCGCTGCGGACAGGACTGTCCTGCCATTTGTGGTGTCACTCTGCAGGACATCCCTCAAGTTGCAGGAGGTAGAGGGCAACCTCCAACGTATGCAGCTTTGCAGGTGTCTGCAATGGAAACGTCTCGAGAGTAAGACCAAGATGCAAATACTGCTCTTACATCACATACCCTGATGTACTGTTGACTATGTTCATCAGAGCTTGACGGCCAGACTGGATTAGCAAATCTAATGACAAAGCCCATCCAGCGGGCACGAGTGACTGATGCCGCTGGACAGTATGGTCTCATGACAGTGATAAGCGATGGGTTTATCGTCCCTCTCATGGTATCATTTTAGTCTGACTAAGTCAGGTACCACGTCGGGACACGAAGAGGGCATGAAAAGTTTATCCACATCGTCTTCAGTATGTAAGGAGAAGGAGAATGCAAAGATATCCTACGTTGTTGGACCCTGCCATGTAGATTGTCTGCAGGTCAACTGCATGATCCCTTATCCTTTCCCCTGATGTGGCTTTGGTTGACAGTGCCAAAGAAGAGGCAAGAAAGCCACAAGACTTACTTGAAGACAGAGATGGCATTATCATGCAGAACCCCTAGCATGACTGTAGTGAGGTCTGGACGGAAAGGAGAACTCTCTTTTCACATCCCAGGCATTTACCTAAGTAAGAGGGAAAGAAATGAAATACGTCAGACATAGAGACAAAGACTTCATGTAACCTAGATAAAGATGGTGTCAGTCTTTATTGAGCAAGGAGTTCTTAACGGAAGGCTTGCTTAATCGGATGCTTAAGTTGTCTTTAGCAGCAGTGCATAACACCGGAATGTGCGGAGGGGTGTTGAAGACGTTCATGCCAAATTGAAGGTAAGCCATGTCCTGTACCCAGCGTGGCCGCTGCCGCCCCAATTGTGACAGAAGACTTTGATCATTTTCACGCACGCATGAATAATAAATGGCCAGCGTAGAGGAGTCATGACGTTTGTGACATGAATAACTCAAGAAGGAGCATCCATAGGAGCACACCCCGAGAAAAGAACTCATCGTAGTACATGATGAACTTGACTGAAGGAAAATGCTAATTATTTCCGTTCCCGGAAAGGATCTCTGCAGACAAAAACCCACTTAAATATCCGAAATCTTGCTGTGAATCAACAACTAAAAGCATTTATTTCAGAAACGGACAGGGGCTGACAAAATGCCCCTCTTTGTTTCGATCACGCTGGGCATCATCGGAAGAGAAGGCCTGGGATGCCATCACAACAATAGTCAGCTCACAGGGGGCCTAATTTTGACGGACCTTGTAACACGCCCACTTGAAGTAAACATGCGCTCGATGATGTGCGGTACGGCAAGGCCGCACAACAGAATTTGTGGTCACATGGAACCACGTAAGTGGGGGCCACAGAATGGTCGTTCTGCAGATCACAGGGTTGTACGTGGTGAGCTGCAGTGGAACCAGATTCGCACAACTTCTTACGGAGGGCCCCTTGGGAAAAATCCAGATTACGGGGTGCCAAGGGGAGTGTAAAAATGCCATTGACTTAAAGATCGTTAGATTCGGATGTCTGGGGATGCGGAATGGAGAGACACAGCAGTAGGTCTGCACCATGATGGCAGAGCTAAAAAAGATAGGAAGACTGCTCAAGAAACACTATTTGCTCATTTTTGTCTGGGTGCCTGGTGACGTAGTCTCAAATGTCGGTAGGTTTAAGCCTGTAGCAGCAAGGTAAGGCGTGGATTCACTTCCAAGTGGCCTGAGCAGGCCTACTGATGCCGGCAAGAAACACCCCTAGAAGGCTGTGATGGAGACTCAGGATTGGGTCCACACACCGATGGCATATTCACCAGGGCAGCAATCCGGTAAGTTGGCCCAGAAAGTGCTACTGTCTGGATTACGTCTGGATGCCCACGCCACAGATATGTCAGAGGCTACACGTAGGTGGCATCTGCGTGTTACAGCCACCTGGGTAAGTGGGGTCATGGCTCACGTTCCTCTGAGGAGGGAGCCCGATGGACTATCGCAATATATGCATCTGCGAAAACAG